AATGACAATACAAAAGTTTGCAGCTCGGCGAAATTGAAATAAATTGCCGGCAATAACAACAAACACAATAAATAACAATGAACGAGTTGGCAGCACCTTTCAGTGGGCTTCAAACTTCCAATTGGCGTGGGCCAGCGTGGGCTGTGTTGTCTTTGACCAGAGACGGGTAGAGAGGTAGAGAGCCAGGCTGATAGGGGTAGAAGATTGCTGTGGCCATTTAAAACTTGATTACGAGCCGCGAGTGGAGTCATGCTGTTGCTGCTGCTGCTGCTGATGGCATTGGTTAAGTTTTGGAAGCAAATGAGAATTCTGTGCAGTCTCTCATGCATGTGGGCCGTTAAATCGCTTTAATTGCCAATTTCCGGTTAAGTAATTAAAAGCGTTTTGCCCGCTCGACACGGAAATTGGCAGAAGAGCAATTAAATAGCAAACATATTTTGTGTGCTGCCAACCGAGTCGCAGCTCCCGAGTGGCGAGTGCCAAGTGCCAAGTGCCAATTGCCAAGTGCTGACTGACTGCTGATGAGTCACGACTTACAGCCTCGAATGGCTAAAATAAATAAATAAATGTGCGCCTGAATAATTGCCTGATCGATTGAGGCTCGGCCAAGCCCAAGCCAGAACACAGCAGGCCTACTGGCTCGCCTGGCCTCGGCTGCTGACCTCTTCGTTTGCCACTAAACATTTCAATTAATTAAATTTGCATGCGCTCTCTCTCTCTCACTCTCTCTCTCCGAAATATTACTAATACGATCAGCACTCAAACATATCTCTTTGAGTTTGATGTTAATTTAAATTGAATAGAATTTCTTTATAATATAATAAATCCTGGACAAAGCTGCCCTTCATAGAAATATTAATTTGCAGCCCAGCCCCAGTAGAAGGAAGAAAAACAAGAAATAAATAATAAAATATTTAATGGACTTGTGCTTAGCGTTTAATTGCAAATATTTTCACGTTTACTTCGTTAATATTCGCATATTTCGGCAGTGCAATAAATACAAAAAAATAATTAACTCATTAAATAAGCATTTGGCGTTTGCATTTACTTTTGCCGTTGCCGTTGCCGTTGCCTTTGCCTTTGCTTCTCTCTGCCTTTGCAATTTGCTCGCTTGCCGCTGGACCAAAAACTGTGCGTGAGCGGACGGTGGCGTGTCATAAATATTGCTTAATGCTTGCCATCAGCTAAATGGCTACGTGGACACCGGCCAAGAGCTAGCTGTGTGGCTGGCTCTGTTCTGTTTTGCCTAATGCACGAGCTCTGCTCAGTTTCTGCCAAGTGGGCGTGGTCTGTGCAGGAAGACGGCGTGGGGAGTTGGGCAGGTAATTTTTGTTGGTGCTAGGCCGCAATTAATGCCAAATGCCAAGAGACAGGCATATGTATATGATTTACATGTGCGTGTGTGTGTGTGTTTATGTTAGTGTGTTATTCGGTCTGCCAGCACATGGCCGGACATCATCATTATTGTTCTTAATAACTTACAGCATATAATAAAAGCATAATTTATAATATTCTCTCTATGAGCATGTGCACAGGGTCGATCTGTGTGTGTGTGTGTGTGCGTGTGCGTGTGTGTGCCTGGCTCATTTTGCTGTTCACTTAATAATTCAGTTAATTAATTTGCACATGCACAAAAGGCAGAGTCTAAAACTCTTGGCAGTCTTAAATTTCTTACACTCAATTAACATTCAGAATTATTTATCTAAATTGTCGCACACACACTCAGACACTCAAACACTCACACACACGAGCAGGCAGGTGTGTGAAAGAAAAGTCTTGCATGTGCATAATAACATCGTACGTACATGTGTGAGAGCTGTGGAATTTCAGCAGCAGCAGCAGCAACAACAACAATGCCGACGACAAATGTTCCAATTGTTGGCATTTGCAATTATTCATACGCCACGTAGACAAATGTGCTGACAGGACACGTAGCTGGGACAAACAGGACGGCGGACGCCTGGGACATGCAGGACATTCCAGTTTAGATTTGTTGCCGGCTTGTAATCGTCGCAGATAATTAAGTTGTAAGCAATCGTAACTCAGCCAGGTAGCCAGCCGGCCAGTCGGCCAGGTGCTCTCAAGTGCGGAACGTGCCCTGGCAATATGAGAAACCATTAGAGCTACACCTTAAACAGAGCCCAAGCTCGCTGCCTGACAAATTGACAATGTGCTAAACACTTCAATATATACTAGATAAACAAAATGCCAAGTGCTCAATCTTTAATTAAATAGATTTGTGCCTGGCCAAAACTAATTCGAGGAGGCAGGCCACTTGAGTGGCTTTCATATGTGGATTACTTGAGGAAGAGCTCGAGACACTGAGCCCAGCTAACAAGCAACTGCTTATCTCTGTGATTGGAGTTTGGAAATGATGTATCAAGGCGAACGTTGATTGTCCTAATTATAATGTTAAAAGCAATTATTGACATTATTATTATTATTTACATACTTTTTATTGCCGAGGGCCCGGTTCAGACTCTTTGCTCTTCGGTCACAGCCCACACAACTATGCTTGATGGAAATCCTTCTCTAAGTCTACACAGCTTTTTGAGGCACCTTTAATAATTGTCTGACAAAAGCTGTTTTAAGCAAATTGAAGGGGTCAACTGAGTTGCGTCGAGTGCACAAAGGCATCCGCGCACAGAATGAAAACTTGGTGCAATGCCAGCGCGATCTGGGCTGGTCCCTTTTTGAAATTAAAAGTTACTACTTGGAAGCATTTTTGTATGACTTTGCTCGTTATATGCCATTCCAGCCGGATCTGTGTCTTTTGTAGTTATTTACAGGCTTGCATTTAGCTACAGTTGGAGCTCCAGCTGCTGCTGCTGCCTGGTTGCGTGCCGGCTGCTGGTCATTAGGGCTATCAAAAGTGAGAGAGACGGCAAAAAGATTATAAGCAAAGTGCTTCAGTTTTTGAGTCTTTGTAAATTATTAAAACACATAATTTACAAGTAAGACCAGAAACAGGGAACGCTTCAAAGGACAATGCTGACAGTGCCAGGAGTCGGCACTGGCTGCTGGCCCGACTCGAGTTCCAGTTGCGCTGCGCTGCGGCAAGATTAAAACGAAATGCAGCCAACAATAACAAAGCCAACACAATTTGTTGCAAAAGAAGTTCAGATGAAGTTGGCAGCATAGAAAAATTGCTTTAGAGCAGCATAAAGCAGATACAGGCACAGTCACAGCCCACTGAGAGCAGGGCGCAAGACAACATCGTCCGGGTTAAGCTGCAGCTCTTCCCAACAGCGCGGCAAAGGAATTGCAATAAGCTGTTTATTAAATTAGTCAGCTTGCAACCTATACAGAAATAGTTTTTGCACTTAAAAGCTATGCTTAAATCATAAGAGTTTGATGCTGCGTTCGATCTCATTCTCAGGTAGAGGCACGTGCAACTTGAGCTAATATTCTGTCACAGAGTCTGGGCATGAAAATGCATTAAAATAGCTGAGGGCAAGGCTACTCGACTTGTTTGATACTAAATAGTTGATGTTGTCCTGTCGATGAGCAGCCGACAGTTTTCGAGCACTTTTTGGCCAAATAAAACTAATCTTTTGCTAATGGCAATAATCAAGGTAGCAAGGAAAGCGGAACAAATAAAGGCAACTGTCCCGCCTTGAGCCTAGCTGCTCACCTCATTAACGAGGCTCTAAAAGAGCCACATAAACATGTTAGCACCTCTATGAGAATGGGAATTGAAATGGGTTTGGGCTGGGCTGGGCTGGGTCAGGTTTACTTTGCTATCTTTGTTACTTTGCCACTTTGCCGCTTTGCCACTTTGCCACTTCTCTCATGGACTCAGAAATTCTCGCGCATGCATCATAAAATTATATGAGTCCTGAGCACTTGAGCAATGTGCATTGAAGCGGTCGTTAGTGGGCAGGCTGTGAAAACGAGTTAATCGTGTCCGGATGTTGCTGAAGGACGACGAGCGTGTTGCATGGTGCGTGGTGCGTGGTGCGTAGGTTCAGCGCTGTGCGAATGGCGCTAATTGCGGCTACCTGACAAATGTCGCACCTGCAGTACGCAAACAGCAAATAGCAAATGGGATGCGGTAACGTGGCGAGAACAGCGGCAGTGCCAAATGGCAAATAAACATTACTGTTAAGCTACAACAGCAACAATGACAACAACAGCAGCACATCAAAGGATCACCCACGGGGCCGCAGGACCTTTTTTTCCACAGTAGACGTCAGGCAGTTGGCCAATTGGGCCCAATGACCAGGGTACACAGGACACAGCCACAGCCACAATACAACACGCAACACGTAATTGTTCTTGTCTATTAGAGCCAAGAGCCAGCTAGTCGAAAGCACATAAAAAAGAAACATCTGAAAGCAATCAACGAACGAAAATTGCACAGCAAAATAAAGAGGAGCAAATGAAAAGTGTTTGTGCATAACGGGAGACAGGTCCCTGCGGGAGACGTGCAGACCAAGCCAGGGCGAACGATGGCAGAATACCCGTTCAGCAGGTCAGCAGACGGCTGTGCCACAAAGCCAATATGCTTGCTTCAGCTGGTGAACAGGTATTAGCAGATGTCAGTGACTGGATTATGAAATAGGCTACGCTAAGCTTGGAGCATTGTTCAATCTATGCGATGCCTAAGCAACAATGAGAACAATTGGATGGCTATCAACTCCGCAGCAGAGCACAGACTCAACTTATGAGCTTAACTTGTGGGGGGCTAAGCCTTTGAGGAACAAAGCAAGTCAATGTGCTTTAAAACAAGAGCTCACGTTGTGACTTATTGATACACACGCGGGGGCAACGAGAATGCAGACGAAACACTGAGCGGAGCCTGCAAATTGAAAGCCAACAAAATGTTTGTTGTGCCGCCGCCGCCAAAGTCAAGGGAGGGGCAAGTTTGTGCGCTGTCCAGGGAAAGTGCGACGGCCCGCAGCTGGCGGTGCAAAGTGCTGGGCAAACAAGGACAACGCGAAGTAATCAAAGCAAAGCAGGAGCCAAAGCAGCGCGACAAAATGAAAGAGAAGTTCGGTGTTCAATGTTTGCGTTGCTGTTCGCAGGCTTTTCTATTGGCCAAGTAAAGTGAAGCGAATGCCGAGCACACAGACACACAGAGTACACACACACCCACACCCACACACACACACACAGACAGATTGAGGTACTCAGCTGCCCCGATATACATACAATCCGACTTGGCCATGGGCGATTGCGATTGCGATTGAGTGCGTATTGAAGCTGCGGTCTACACGTTGAACTCGTGCTTGTACTCGCTATCCTCGGTGTCCTCTCGCCGACGCTTGGCCAGCAAACGCAACCGGCGATCGGGCGCCAGAGGTCCCAGAACCTGGCTGGAGTAGCGCTGCGAGTCCACGCTGCTGCCGGGCAGCATACTGAGTTCTGGGCCTTCGTTCAGTGGCTGTAACCTGCGCTCCACGCTCCAGTGCACGCAACGCGACATCCTCGCCTTGGTTTGTGGCTCCGGATCTGATAGCTCCAGTGAGCGTTGCCCATCGTTTGCAGTGCAGCTAATACGCAAATCGGGCAGACTGCGATAGTTGGCGATGCCGCTGCCAGCTGCCAGCGTGGGCAGCGCGTCTGTCGGCGGCGGCGGCGTGACCATGGAAACGGGACCTGAGCTGCGTTCGGCCGCATCCAGTGGAGTGAATACGTCTAAGAATCTGGGCAGTGGGGGCGAGGCTTGCCTGGGCATCTCTGAGTTCAGATTGTGCAGCGTTATGCAAAAGTTTTGGAAGCCGTGCACCGTATGATAGTTGCGGCTGTTCTCCTTGGCCTGGCTGACAGGTGCCTCCGGCCGTATACACGGCCGTACGGTGCCCGGCGACCAGGTGTGCTGATAGTGTGGTGCGTCCAGATTGACCTGCCTGCGCTCGTCCAGATCCAAGCGATCGATGGCGCTGTGCAGCTCGGGATCATGCAGCGCCACCTCGCGTGCCAGTCGCACGTCATGGCGCCAGAATTGCTGATCTCGCTGCACCGCTGGCGCCACCTCCTTGATGCGCAGCACAACCACGCCCATCAGCCAGACACAGAACACATTGACCAGTGTGAGGGCCATGCTGACCGTGGCGCACACGAAGAGCTCGATGTGCAGATGCTGCGAGTAGTCGCGATGCTTGGACAGGCTCTGCAGCAGCTCATGGTCAATGTTCAGGACGCGGGCGCATAGGGCGATCGCCCACAGCAGGCCGGCGTTGACCGCTGGCGGCAGCAGAGAGGCGGATATGGCCACGCCCACCAGTGAACCTGTATTGCCACCCAGTACTCCAAGCGCCGCCGCCGCTCCAGAAACCAGCGCCGTGCAGAGGCCAATGGCCAGGGAGTGCGTGTCGCAGCGCGACAGGATCTCCTCGGTGAAGCCGGAGGAGAGCACAAAGAAACGGGCCAGGCCGCACAAACAGATGGCGCTGCCAAAGATGAAGCCCGTCACCACCGAAATGCCAATGCCGATCAGCTCGTTCTTGATGCCTAGCCAGCGCAGACCGCGATCGCCAATCACCGAGCCGAATATGGCAGCTATGATCGGGCCCATTAGCGGCGAGATGAGCATGCTGCTGGAGAGGAACAGAAAGCTATTCTCCACCAGGCCGACGCACGAGAGCAAAGCGGCAGCCATCAGTAGCACCACAAAGTCAAAGTTAATGGTGGCATCGTGTCGCACCACACGCACCACCTGATTCACGTTCAGGCGGCAACGTACCGAGTCCATGAAACTCTGCCAGCCCACACGCTGTCCCTCATGGGTTCCAGTAGCGCCTTCGGCATCAGCAGCTTCGCCACTCGCCACGCCCGCTGCAGCCGCTTCACTTGATTCGCAGCTGAGTCGGGGCGCCGAGCTGAATTTCACGCGCGTATCCAGGCAATTGATGGCCGTCACATGGGTGCCCGGCCGCTCGCCAATGCCCCAATCCTGCAGCGTATAGAGCAGACACTCGTAGCGCTCGTCCTGCAACAGGTCGAAGCGCGCCTGCAGCTGCCTGCCGGCCACATCGTGGGACCAGAACACATGCTCCAGCCGCAGCTGGGCAGCTATCTGGCGCAGCACCGTCTCCAGCGGTGCCGTTCGTGGCAGGTCTTTCAACTGCAGCGATCGAAAGTTCTGCGGCCTGGAACTCTTGCACTCTGCGCAGTTGTTCGTGCTCCAGCTATGCCACGGGCAGCTGCAGCTGGCAGAGCTCGCAAAGCCGGAGTTGCAGGAGGGGAAATACTTGCTGTCGAGACTCAGTTGACCCCGCTCCTGGTGAGCAGTGGGCACCGTCACCATGACGCAAACGGAGGCATTCATATTCATATATGACTTGAATTTTGTGCGAAATATTAACTAAATGAATGGATAAGCTTGAGCGCCCAAGCAAACGGATTTGTTTATGGTTATCTCGGAGCCAGAGGCAAACGAAGACAGTGCCTGATATGAAATATATTGATTTTTTGACTCTCCGTAGCTGTCAGAGCTAAACTAGTTTGCTTGGCACCTAAGCCGATAAATAAATATAGTTTTTATAGTTGGAGAAAGAAAAGTTAAGCTGCCAAGTAATCGCTAAAAATGCCACATTAAACAATTCAATTTATTAAATGAAAAGTAAATATTTGCTTTAATCCCAATCTTATTTAATATAACCCTAATAACGCCTCCCTTGCCTTGCAGCCCAGCCAAATTAAGCTTGAGCTGGGAACATACACAGATATGCCCACAGCAATACAAACACACATACAGACACACACACATATAGACACTTATAGCTGTCAATTAATACTCGTCAATAATCATTTGATTTTGTTATTTATTTGACTTGCATTTCCATCTAAGTAGGGAAGTATTTCTGTTGACAATCAGATGGGTTATATGCAGGTCTGGAACCACGCTCAAGCACCCATGCACTGAGGGCAGACCATTAAGGTATATTTTTAGAGAGCTCTCATTAGTGCCCCATAAGCATGGCTGGCTCTTAATCGAATTGTTTGTGCTGCTGGGCGGCGCAGATGCGGATGTTGCTGCTGGTGTTGCTGCGCTGGCTGCATCCTGTTTGACAAGGTGCCAAGTTGCACGTGTCCTGTTGCCGCATAATCAAGACGGTGGCCAGCAGCAAAGGAAGCAGCAAACGGAATGTCAACAAACTGCATGCAGCCATGAAATATTATGAGACCGTTTGGCTGCGACGTCTGCGGTTTGGCAGTAATAACACACGCACACACACACACACACATTGCAGAGGCGGGTGCAAGCGGTGCAGCGGAAGCGAACAGTCGGTGGCTCCTGTGTAAAGAAAACGCATGTGAACCAAAATCGCGCAAAAAACGCACTCAAAACGAGCAGCAGTTGCAACAGCAACAACAATAACAGCATCGGCTCAATGCAACCATTGTCCTGTAAGCACACCCACACACACATACACACACACACACACACACATATGTGGCATTTTTTGTGCTGCATTCATCGGTGTCCATTATCCAGCGGTATTTGTTTGTTTTTTTTTTGTTTTTTTTTTTTGCCACGCCCTTTTCCATCTGCCATTTGGCAGTTGCGGCGGGTGTGTGTGTGCATCTGTGTGTGTGTGTGTGTGTGCTTTACCGAGATCAAGCGTCAAAATTACATTGTTGGCATACGCTGTGCAACTTTTTGCGCCAGTCGCTGCCGTTGGCCAACATTTTATTTTGTTCCTTTTGCGGTGCTGCCGCCCTTTGGTGGCATGCCTCGCGTTTCCTGTGCTGTCGCCGCCAACAACAGTATGGAGCGTTGTTATTGCGACTCCTGTTGCTGCCTTTTGGTCACCTCGAAATCCTTTCCAGTCAGCCTGCCAGCCAGCTAGCCAGCCAGCCGGCCAGCCAGCCATCCAACCATCAAGCCGATCAGCCCATTGTCTGGTCTGCTTCAGCTGTTCGTTTTTTGGCTGTCCGCAAAATGTGGGCGGCACAAACCGAAAAAAACGAATGAAAAAATAACAAAAAAAAGCAAACAAAGCTGATACAAACAGTAAATTTAAATTCAAGCCGAACAGCAAATACCCTTTATAAAAAAATTTTTATATTTTATCTTTATTAATAAAAAAAAAACCAAAAAAAAATAAATTCAGTTGAATAGAATTTTACTCTAAACTCATTCTGTTGCCAGGACATAAGACCTATTTAAATAAATTAACTTCTATATAAAATAACCCCAGTTAAACTAAACTTAGGACAGAGAATGTTCTATGACCAAATGTTAAAGAAGGGTATTTCAAGACTCCATCAAAAAAGAGGAAAATCTGAAAAAAAGAGCGTGCCGCTAGACGCAGGACACACAGGACGCAGGACGCACTGAGCAGCGTTGATTGTTGCAATTTCTCGTTAAATTGAATTCAGTCATTCAATGCGAGCCCTGAGCAGAGGGCAGCTGAGAACCGAGCACCGAGCGGCACGAGTTGAGAGCTAAGAGAGAGCTTCAAGCTGCACAGCTTATTTATGACAAGTGTCCGGACAGCGGACCACAGACAATGGCAAACGAGCGACCGGCCAGCGAGCTGGGACAACGAAAAACGGCAATGACAACGCCGATGACAATGACAATGAATGAATACGGCGCATTATGAGATTGTGATTGCGATTGCGATGGCGATTGCGATGGCGATTGCAGGTTTCGTTTTCAAATTACACAAAACACATGGCAACAGCTCGTTGGCCAGCTGATTGGCTTAAGCTGAGCAGCAGCTCGATGCGCTTAATCAAGGTCTCCACTGAGTGGTAAAAGCCAGCTTCATTGTAATAACGCGCCACTTTCGTTGCCTGTTCGCAGCCCCCACTGAGATGCCAACGTCAATTACACGTGTGGGTTAAAAAAAGTTTTTCATTGCAGCCACACAATGTGACGGCAAGCGATGAAGGCGAGAGATGAAGGACTTAAGGACTTTAATGAGAGTGAATGCATAATGAAGAGGGATCATTGGTTATTGGCATTAGTATTGCTGTTTATATTTAGGACTCATTGCTGGTGTTCTCTATTGTCATTATCATTATCATTGTCATTATCATTATCATTATCATTATCATTATCATGAGCAGGAGCAGGAGCAGGAGCAGGAGCAGGAGCAGGAGCAGGAGCAGGAGCAGGAGCAGGAGGAGGAGCAGAGCAGGAGCAGAGAGGAGCAGGAGCAGGGCAGGAGCAGGAGCAGGAGCAGGAGCAGGAGGCAGGAGCAGGAGCAGGAGCAGGAGCAGGAGCAGGAGCAGGAGCAGTATCATTATCATTATCATTATCATTATCATTATCATTATCATTATCATTATCATTATCATTATCATTATCATTATCATTATCATTATCATTATCATTATCATTATCATTATCATTATCATTATCATTATCATTATCATTATCATTATCATTATCATTATCATTATCATTATCATTATCATTATCATTATCATTATCATTATCATTATCATTATCATTATCATTATCATTATCATTATCATTATCATTATCATTATCATTATCATTATCATTATCATTATCATTATCATTATCATTATCATTATCATTATCATTATCATTATCATTATCATTATCATTATATCATTATCATTATCATTATCATTATCATTATCATTATCATTATCATTATCTCCAGGGAAAGAGTTTCCATTCGTAATAAACATAGCAATTTCGAAAGTTTCACTACAACTTTAAGCCATAATTAAAGAATTTACAATGATAGCTGCTTAGCCGCAAGCTGATGTGAACTAATTTCATTACAATTCGGCTTACAAATTGACGAACAGCTGGAGCTAAAATCATGCAACATTTAGCCATGCATATTTTAGCAGAGTAGCTTAGTGGGCAAGGTGCGGGCGACGCTTGATGCTGCAAAGAGGAGGACTGAGTGGGGTTGAGGGGGGTGGTTAGGAAGTGATGGCTCGTAAATAACTAAAATGCCAACCGCACAGCTACAGGAAAAGGCAGCCAAATGCAAAATTATGCGCCGCATTTAAATGTAATTTGCATTTATTGCCATTAATTGAGTTCCACTACGCGCTTGTGTCTGTCTGTGTGTGTGTTTGTGGGTGCGTAAATACAGCCGAATGAATTGCGTCAAATGAGCATTTAAGCCTTTTCATTGAGCAGCAACAACAACAGAGCCTCGGGCATATGGCAAACTAATGAACCGAGTGCCGGGTAAATCTGCTTCGGATAGGCTCATGAGATAGCTGCTTATAGATGCAGATACGCATACAATTATATCTGGCGAATCTACCGAGCTTGTGGCATTATATAAAGTGCAACAGCAGCAGCAAAAACAACAGCTCGAAACTTTTGCTCAAACAGCAAATCCCAACCATTCCAATTACTTAACACAATTGTTTGAGTAAGTGGCCAACTTTATGTCTGTCTGTTGTCTGTGTGGCAGCAATGAAAGTGCCAAATAAATAAGGTGCAAACACGCATATGTGTGCGTGTGTGTTTGTTGGCAGTTTGCTGAGCTCGTTTTGCAGCTTAAATGCCAACAAAATCGCAATCGTCTAACGTTATCCTTATCATTGTTATACTTAAGTTAACAGCAGCTTAAACAACAGCAAACACACACACGCACACGCACGCACGCACACTCAAGCACTAATCAAGCACTCACACACATTTGTGTCGAGGCACCTTGAATTTTATGCGCTGCACAGTGTGTGATAGACGCCAACAATTTGAATGAATGCCATTTTTGTGTGAGTTTTTCTTCAGTAAATATCATAAGCTTGAAAATTCTTAAAATATATTTTGATTGAGTTACTTTAATTAGGATTCTGAAATATGCTAATTAATTGCACAGCAAAAAGCATTCTTCAGACTTTTAAGCTTTGAACAATCCATTCAAATTCAAAATTCGATTCATGCTAAATGCTTTGGAATCACTGTACTCGTCGATACTAAGAGAAGCGATTTGGAGTGTATGTTGCCGCTGCCCTAGCTACATCAGCAACAGCAGCAACACAATCCTCAGAAGCAATGTAAGTGGCTGGTGAGTCTGTGGCAGCGGCAATTGTAACGGGACAGCATTTGACTGGGCTTTTAGCCACGCTCATTTAGTGGCAGGCGCAAAGCCCCATAATCAGAAAGCTTTTGCACTTTATTTGTGTTAGTTTCAATTATATAAACAACGAGAGCAGTAGCAGAGGTAGCGACGGCAAGCAGACCCAATTACCGCTTGATTTAGCACACGCACACAAGTGCAAACAAGCTTAAGCATCACTCACACAAACACACACACGCACACCATGACAAACTTATTGAGATTCATTGAGCAGATTGTGAAGCTTCCCTTCAGCTGTGCAACGTAACCCCAGCAGCAACCAGGCTGCCAACAAGCCACGCCCCCACTCTCTCTGGGCAGATTTGACAGGCAGACAATAGCTAATGCTTCAGCTGGCAAACACAAATACAAACACACACACACACACACACACAGTTGAATTATGTGCGTGTGTGTGTTTACTTTGCATAAAAGCTCAGCCATTGAAAACTAAAATACTGCACAGCACATTGAGACTTTGTATTGCATAGCATTAGGCGGTGTTTCATTTATATTTTAAGCACACACACATACCCACACACACACACACGCACACACACACACATGCATGCAGAAACGTTTAAGTGCGTCGTTTTATCGTCCAGCTTTCAGTGTGCATTTTAGCTTAATAGTTAAATAAACAACAATTTCCTTCTGGCAACTATTGCCATTTGGCTTACAAACATAAAACCCATGCCGAGACCCCCATGACAACGCACCACCATACTACAACGCCCAATCGAAGTCCGGCACAAATACAAATACAAATTTTCTTATGTAATTGAAATATTTTATTTATATATATATTTTATATATATATTTTTTTTATATATATATAGTATTTTTTGTTTCATTTTTGTTCGATTTGTATGACAAATATTGTATCGTTCGATATGCGAAATGCAAATTGTGGCTGGGTTTATTTTGAACTTTTATGCAATCGAATGTGAAAGTGCCTTAAGGTATGCAGCGTGAAAGCAGCGGCGCTGTGGCCGCTACCCGCCGTTAGGTGGCGCTGCAGCAGACTGACGAATGGCAGCCGAAAAGCAATGCGTTTGGGCCACACTCATAGTCGCATGCACAAACAAACTCAGCTGCTGCAATCAGCGCCTAATGCAATCGTTAGGTAAACACGCATTTTCACAGCTCTGCCAATTTCTCCAGCGCTGCCTCTATCGCTCGCACTCGCACCCTCGCTCTCGACTTTTTCGTTTGTATTTTATTCGCCATGTTAACATGCCGTCTGCATATGTTTGCCAAAGAATTTTTTTTTTGTTTTTTTTTTTTTTTGGAAAAAAGTTAAATTTTCCTAATGGCATTTGCTACACGAGTCAAACACACCAACAACAGCAGCAGCCGCCGCAGCAACAACAACATCGACACCTACGCCGGCTGCATGCGAGTGTGACAGATATTTTAGCATATTATGTTCGTGAGTGTGTGTGTGCCCGTGTGTGTGTGTGTGTTTGAATAGGTTTGTTTGCTGCCTGTGCATCCCTTTGGGCGCCAGCTTCCTGGCCCTGATTTTGTTTCTATCGCTTGGTAATTCTAATGCTTCTCATCGCCACCAGCTGTCGTTAACATTCGCATTCGCATTCGCATCCGCATCCGCATCCGCATTCGTATTCGCAGTGTTTGCCTTTAGTAAGCCCAGCTCGTCTCGGCTGTTGCTCTATGTTTTCGAACCACTGTGACCGGCTTTTAATGCATCATATGCACAAGGTACCACGTCTCGAGTAGTCACCCTGTCTTGGGAAGTTAAGTGCCAAAAGTGTCAAACTTAGCTCCGGCTCCGACTCACTGCTTAAGGCTCATGATAGACATTTTGTTTAATACTCGTTCAAATCACAAGGAGTATATTAGCTTGCTGTAAATTCTTCTGATAGAGACTCGATGTTTGACTTATGGATGACTTGTGAAAGCTTCAGCTAAAAGCCATCTCAGAGTAGACAGCATAAGGCAAGGTGAAACACATCTGTGAGCGAGTATTAAGCAGTCACTATATTTTTATTCTCATGTCTGATGCTCTCGCGCCCTTCATTATATATTTTACTTTGCCTTATCGATCGGACGCGTTCTCTGTCCAAGCTATGTCCATCAACTAAGCCAATTTATAGTTAAAAACATTGCGTAAATTAGTTTTTGTTTTGTTTCGATATTTTTTATATTTATGTTTCTCTTTTTGTTTGTTTTAGACACCAACAGAAAAAAAATATATATCTATGTACATGCATTACATTTACTTTACAATAATATTTTGTTATTTGTTTTTCGTTTTTTTTTTTCGTTTTTTTCTTTGTTTTAGATAACATAAATAATACGCTTAAATGTTAAAAAAAAAATTATAATTCTAATATATAAATATACTCGTATATCTTTGAAAATGTTTCATTTAGCAGCATTTAAAAAGCAACGCATTTTTTCTTTCATTTTTGTTTTTGTTTTCGTTGAGCTTAATTTAAATTCAAATGCAGCAGCAATTTACAATGTTTAAAATTAAGCAGCGCATATTAATGGCTTTCCACGTGGGGTATATACACAGAGACAACTACAACGAGGCTTCACATAAAAAATAATATATGGAAAGGAATTACAATAATAATTATATTAATAATATTACAAAGGTACGGATAGGGGTGGGGATAAGCTCTATAATTTGCCAGAAGGACTTAATTTACAATTATATATATATATATATATATATATATATATATATATATATGAATATAATATCAATAATAATTGTGTGTGTGTATGTGCTAAAAAACTAGCTTTAACTTTAAATAATCACAATTAAATATTGCTAAGGCATGCAACAGCAACAGGTGGCAATGCACGTGTCCTGCCCCACAGAAGCACAATAATAAAACTATTGTAAAAATTGATATATGTATACACATCGGAATGCATATACATATATATATATATACACACATATATCGTGTTAAAATTAAATCAACAACTTAAAAGGCAGCAAGGTAAATAACAAAAAAAAATATCTAAGAACTGTTGAGAACGAAAAAAAAAAAAGATATATATATATATATATATATATCTATATATATATATATATATATATATATATGAAATCATAAACGAAATTTGTTGACGTTACGTAATATGTACAAATAGATAAACAGATACAAAAAGTTAATACAAATATATATATATATATATATGCATGTATGTATGTATGTATGTATGTATGTATGAATATATGTAAATTTTGGAAACAATTAAAATTATTAAATATTTATAGACTGAGAGCTAAGTAGTGTATGTGTGGATAGGGTAGTTAGACGCTGTTGCAACTGGACAAGCAGAGACTTCAACACACAATTGAAACGTTGTTGCCAGCGGCGCCGTCAGACGACACGGCAGCAATTCCAACCGACCAGCGGACTCCAGCGACTCTCCACATCGGCGAGAGATGCTAAGAGCAGCGCGCAGGCATTGAAAAAGCGCCAGGGAAACTGATCCACATTAGCGACGCGACGTTATTGTGGCTGCTGTGCTGCTATCGCTGGCACGAAATGTCCTGAAGATACGCAGCAATAGAGAACGATCCTCGCCTTTCTCATCCACCTGGCGGTCGACGCGCCAGCCTATGTTCGGCAACCACCAGAAAGGCGCATAATTGTCATCATTCGGTGTTGCTGATGTTGCTGTTGTTGCAACTGTTGCAGCTGTGGCTGTTGTTGCTGCTGTTGTTGATATTGGCTGTGGACTCACGCCTGGACTGTCTACTCTAATTATTTTACTATTTCTATTGCTACGATTTGTATTAATACTTAATTGTTGTGTGCTTCTTGTGGTGTCAGCAACTGTTGCTGTTGCTGCTGTTGCTGTTGTTGCTATTGAGCTATCAGCAACAACATTACCTGGTATTACTGTTGTTGCAATTGTCTCTGCCGTTTGTTCTGTTGCTGCTGTTACTGTTGTTGCTTTTGCTGCTGCTGTTGTCGCTGTTTCTGCTGTTGCCGGCGTTGTTGTTGCTTCTGTAGACGTCTGGCCCATCATTGGCATGAGGCTAGACCAAAGCTTTGTTGTTTCTGCTGTCGGAGTGCTAGACGCATCCGAGCTGCTTTCAATGATCGTTGCTGCTGTTGTCGTTGTCGTTGACTGCTGCTCATGTTGCTGTTGTCGCAGCTGCGATAATCGTCGCTTGTCCTTAACCAGTTCGTTTATAATGCGCAATTCTTGTTCAAAATTAATTTCACTTGCCGCCCTCTCACTGTCACCCTGGCCACCGATTGTATTTGTCATTAAATTGTCACTGGATGCCATATCGTTCAGCACATCCAAGTCGCCGTCAGCATTGCTGCCGCTGCTGCTGCTGCCGCCGCTGCTGCTGCTGCTGCTGCTGCCACTGGCAGCAACATTTCTGTTAAAATGCTGATAATAAAACCGGTCATCATCTCGAGCATTGCCATTGGCATCTTGATGTATGGCAGCAACTTCGGTTTCAGTAGCGACTGTTGCAGCTGTTGTTGTTGTCACTGCTGCTGCTGCCGATGATGATGATGATTCTGCTGCTGCTCTTGTTGGTGTTGTTGATGTCAATGATATTGTTGTAGCTGTTGCTGTAGCCGCTGTTGTTGTTGCTGTTGCAGCTGTAGCTGCTGTTGTTGTTGTCGTTGTTGCTGCTGTCGTTGTTGTGCTCGAGCTTAACTGAACCGGTTGCACTTTCGATTTTTTCAACACAGGCACATCTAGCTCTTGTTCTTTGCTTGTAACTTGTGCCCGGGTTGCTGACAATGTTGGTGTTGTGGGCGTAGCCAACGAGGCAGTTGCTGATGTTGCTGTTGTTGTATCAGCGTCGCGCTCCGCTGTCGTAGGCACAATATCCGTAGCTGAATCGTCAGCGTCCAGGTCGGCGCTGAGCAGCGGCGAGACGCGACGATGACTGAACGGCGGCATCATATCCACGCTGCTGCCATAGGCCGGCAGAAAGGCGTCGACCTTGAGCAACTGCTCCAAGTCCGTTTCGATCTCTGCGTCAGTCTCAGTCTCGGCCACAGCCACAGCATCGGCATCGGCATCGGAATCGGCAGCGGCAGCGGTCGCTGCATCTGACTGCAACTTCGCCCCCGCATTGGGCACTGCATCCGCATTGGGCTTCGAATCGGCATTTGCTTCGGGCTCAGCGCGCATCGAACTTGTCACCAACTGAACCGTGGGCTCCGCGCCCAGCGACGCGCCCGCTGGCACGACAATGGCATCGATGTGGCCAATGTCACTGAAGGAGCCAATGCTGCTGCCGCTGCTGCTCGATGTGCTGAGGCTTGTTGTGCTTGGCAGAGCATTGCTCGAATCAGCCTGCAGATCTTGTGCGCTCTCAGCAATGCGATTATTCGGCTGCTGCTGCGCCTTGAGGGCGTTTTCGCGCATCGTTGCAATTGTGGGTGTTGGCGTGGTTGTTGCCGTCGCCGTTGCCGTTGCCGTTGCCGTTGCCGTTGCCGTTGCCGTTGCCGTTTGCATTGCAATCGATGGCGATGTTGCCGTCGTTGCATTGGCAACATCGGGCTCTGATGCCGTGGGAAACTTCTTTTCGAATATATTGAACTTGAGTGGCGCATCCTCGCTGGGCAGCGCCTGATCCTCGGCACCCGTCGCACTCGTGGGCAACGTGGGCAACTGTATGAGCGGCCCCAATGGCAACTCGTAGATCAGCTCATCGCTTTCATTGTCGCTGTAGTCGTAGTCGGTGAATGCAGTCGGGCCACTGCCGTCGCCCAGCTGCTCCTGCAGCTCCTGTGCCACCAAATCGGTGGGATCAATGTTGGTCTGCGATATGCAGCGCTCGTTGTACAGCTTATGCCCCGGCGGACAGTGACGGAAGGGCAGAGCGAATATGGACTTGGGCATTACCTTCTTCTGCTTCTCGAGCGATTTCTGTTCGAACGGCAGGCGCAGCCACGCCTCCCACGCATCCTTCTGTGCATTGCCCTCGATGGGCCGCGAGGTAATTGGCAGCGCCTCAACCCCGACCGGAATTAGGCTGTGCATGTGCAGCGCGGTCAGCGCCAGTAAGCCATGCGCCAGCAACAGCATCCAGCAGCCATTTGCCGGCCGCATGCCTCTCGACGACGATGCCATGGCGGCAATCCTCCAGCTCCACTGTTGCAGCGTTACCAATCCCACGATCCTAGTGCCGCTTATCTCTGCAATCGAAACTGAAACGGAAACACAGAGAAGAGTAGGGATTAGTATGACTGGCCAAATGTGCTGGCAATGCCCCACAGGTAAAGCTTAGCTGCCTTCAGTTTCCCTGCCTCACAGCAGCTAATGCGCTTTCTGTGCCACCAGCAGCAGCAGCAGCAGCAGCAGCAGCTGTTCTACTCTTTGAGTTTTTGCCCAGCCGCATCTTTTGTGGCATGTGGAACAATACCGGTTTTCAATTGTATGTGCCTCGGCCGCACACGGAGCATGCCACAATGGCATCAATTCAAGAAGTTTCCGAACAATTCAAAGCCAAAATGAAACCAACAACAATAAATCATAAGAAAAATGATTTTGTTACATTTTAAATATTTATAAGAATTGTTACAAAAAATTAATAAAAATAAAAACAGAAAATATTTTAGAACATTTGAAAACTTGTTTCACTTGACTTGGTAAATTAGGCAAAAGTCGCTGCCAAAATTCATCAGCTGCTGCCAGCTTAGGCCATCTAAGTGCATATTCAGATTCTTAATTAACTCATTTTCAATTTGATATTTTTACTATAATGAATCAGAGAGTCGCAATATTATTGACTCCTAAAGGGAACAGACTTCAGCGCTGAAACTCGTCCATGAATAAAGAATTCATTTTGATATATATTTTGAATATATATTTTAAATAATAATAATAAAATTAAAATATATTAGATGAATTAGCTTAAGCAATATTATTTATTTTGAAATTGTTTTCTGCTTAAGTTTTAACAACATTTGCACCACTGTGCGCTTTGCGCTGGCGTCGGCGGTAGTCGTCACACACAAAGATTGTGAACTTGGGCAGCGCTTTAATGTTTTAATGGGTATATCGACGGTGGCACACACACAAACACACACACACATCGACACAGACAAATGCATATCTCTCATCAGTCATCTCTGTTGTCATTATCAACGGCAACAATAATAATAATAACAGCAGCAGGGACGGCGGCGACAGCAACAACAACTGCATCAACTTGTTGCTGCCACAGCAGTCATTGTTGATGTTGCACTTTGCTTAAGCACACACACGCACACACAAAGGCAGACAGATACGTTGTGGGACAAGCACGCACAATGTTTATTTATAAAGATACACGCACACACACTGCGGCAGAGACTATAGACATATATGTAGGTTATCTGCGGGCTCTTAGAATTTATGAGTTCAAGTGTGGCACATTGCAACCGCGACTTTTTCCCAGTGCTCTAACTGTTGCACTCAAGTTTATGGCCGTTGCTGTTGTTGTTGTTGTCATTATTACTTGTTAATAGCTTTTTAGTGGGCCTAGCTCGGCGTATCGGTCATAAAACTGGCCACTGGCCACTGGCCACCTAGTCCATGCCCTCGCCCGCTGCCTCGTCTCATCTTTTCGGGCAATGCGTGTCGCATGCACGTGTGAACGTCAAGAACCTCTTGACACACACACACACACTCAAACACATGTGTGTGTGTGCACATATATTAAATAAGCACTTGATAAGGTTAATGTCATTACGGTATTATGTAAGACAATGACTTTGACACCCGCAGCAACTGGCATGGCTCATAGCTCAATTAGCTTAACATTTGAAGCACCCACAGCTCAGAGCTGAATGCAAATGCGGTTTTCGAGGTTCAAGCTTAATATTACACTGTATATATATTGCATTATATTATAATATACGAATACTTTCAGTTGCAGATGAATGTTAACTACATGCATTGGCCATATCATGCTCATGAAGTTAGTTTGAAACTGAGCGGCATTTCTGGTGTTCCTTTCAGTTGCAGTTTGTTAATTGATTCAAGAACTCAGCGAAGCTGTCCGCCTGCCTGGCTTAGGCTAGTTATCATATGTGTCAGACACGAGTCTCTGGCAGACACATGTGTGTCACGTCTCTGCGTCCTGTGTCTATGCATGCAGCTGTCAGCTAGGCCCGCCAAATTGAAATCAACTTCACACGTCGCAAATTTTTAATTAAAAATCAGCAACGGATGTCAATTTGGGGCCACAGCCAAAAGGATCCGGCAATGGACCTCTCACAACACTTCAATTCGTTCAATTTTTGTTTGCTTTCTTCAGTTTCAGTTTCGGTTTCGGTTTCGGTTTCGGTTTTAGTTTGTTTTTTGTCTTGTTTTTGTTTTCTTTTTTTTTTTGTATTTTTCTGGTGTTTTCTATTTGATGTCCTTTGCTTTTTCGGACAACATTTGATGCCTTTTACGCGTGCAATTCCATTTGGGAAGCGACAGGATTTAGGGTCCTATCTATGATTTTGTTTGTACACACACACACACACATGCATAATGCGAGGCCGCACACATTGACATCCTGCTAATACATTACAGCAGCAAACCAGCAACAACAACACGAACAGGACACGTAACTGTGCTTTCTGTTTCGTGCTCGCACGTATTCAATTCAATTCAATGAGTCAATCCCATTCGGCATCCTTCAAAACAACAACAGCACACATGCGCATAGGTGTGTGCCCGTGTGTGTGTGTGTCCATGTGTGCACGTGTATATGTCCCGCTATTCATTTGCCAATTTTTTATGGTGTCCGCGGAACGCCACATGCAATCGCCGCCTCATTCCCCATATGTCGAGCTATTCCTGTGCATTTCACTGCCTATCAACATCATCAGAGTGTGTGCGTCTCTCTCACACTCTCTCCCTCTCACTCTCTCACTGTGTGCGCGCTTTAACATTTAACCTGCATAATTCTCATATAAAACTCTTCTTCTCTCTTGCAGCAATCGTTTTGTGGCAAAGGTAAGCATTGATTGTTTCAACTTTATAATATTTAATAATAAAAATATTATTTATAAAAAAAAGCTCAACGACCTATGACAAGCTTAAAAGCAACTAAAAAGTCTAACATACTCAAAGTAAGAAAATAAAAACAAAACTCACAAATCAACTCACTTAAAGCAGTAAGTTGAGCTAAGCTAACGCTTTAGCTAATTATTAGTATCATACTCTAGCAAAGAGTCCTATGATTTGGTCAATGCCTCGGCTGAAGCCACAAGCTGTAGAAGTTGTTGAAGAGCATCAACAAGTCAGTTCTATCCGCTATCTGCACTATTTGATATATCGCAGCGAAGGGTATTCCAGCATCGCCATGCTCACGCTGACAAGGAGAAACAAGATGTGATGCTCCAGTCGGGCACTTGGAGTAGGATTCGGGTTTGCTTTTGCAGCTGTCCAAACAATAAGTCATCTGTTTTCAATTTTGTTTTTGTTTTCTTTTTGCTTTTGGTGGTGCTGGCTGGTGGTGGCGGGCTAGAGTGGGCTTGGAAAGTGCAGCAGAAATGTATTTTTGGAAACGCTGCCCATTCATTGCCCAATTGTGTTGGCCTGCTGCAGGCATTGCATCATTAGTGATCTCATCGCTGGCTAAGACGTTCACAATTCGAGTGCATCAGGCAAGCACCGGCCATAGCCATAGCCAAACCCATAGCCACAGAGGCTAGCATCCAGCACAATTTCAATTCATATTCATATATGTATATGTGTGCATGTGCGTGTGTGCGTGTGTGCGTGTGTGCGAGTGTGTGCCGTATGTGGAGAGCTGCGCATTCAATTACTCATTTGCGAGCGCAGCTGATGATCAAAGTAGTCCAATTAGCAGCAAGTGGCAGTCGCTTGGCTACACAGTCGAGTGGCCATTAGAAGTGGCTTATTATGCATTCAGCAGGCCACACAGAGTATGTCAATGTCTGGCCAAAAGAATTATACAATCGAGCCGAAGCTAACGAATCTGGTTTGCCAACGTTGCCTACGCACGTGGACTGTTCCATGTGCTGCTGCCAACATGTTAATATATAGATATATACATATATGTTTAGAGAGTTGGAACTACGGCTAAATAGTGTATCAACCAGTTTTTGGGCCTCTGTCGTGTCGTAAAAATTGAAAAAAATGCAAAACAGTCGAGCTCAAATGAAACAAAAAAAAGAAATAACAAGAGAAAAAAGTTGCTGCTGCTGTTGTTGTTGTGCTGATGCGCCACAGCAACAACATGCACAGCAAAGGCAGGGGCATGTGGCTCAGAGTAGTTCAGCAGGCAACTGGAACGCAATTTTACACCACTCTTGTGGTTTGTTTATGTGCCGATGCGGGCGGAGATGGTGCTGCTAGCGGTGGTGCCATTTAGTTTTCATAGCCGTTTAACAGCTTTGCCAATACCAGCAACAGCAACAGCAACAGCAACAGCAACAGCCAGAGTCAGACCCAGAGCCAGAGCCAGAGCCAGAGCCAGAGCCAGAGCTTAGCAATCACTCAGCTTGGCAGCAACAGCAACAGCAACAACAATCGACAACGATCGAGTTGGCCAAGCAGCCAAAAGGCGGCCTAAACCATGGGACAGTGGATGCCAAGTTGTCGCTGTGGCAGCTATAACTGTTGTTGTTGCTGCTGCTGCTGCTGTTGCTGGCAACGCACTTGAGAACCGTTACAATTCGTGCGAACTGCTTAACTACCGGCTTATTTAGTAGGCATCAAGTTGGCCCCCACCAAAACCAAAACAAAACAACAAAAAAATGAGTGGAAAGTGTGGCTATTTATAGTCGACTGTTGCAGCCAGATAACTGCAATTAAAAATAGTCTCGGCAATCAATATATATATATATATGCATACATATATATATTTATTTATATAGTTATTTATGAGATCAGCTCAGGAAATACTACATCGTCGCTGTGGTTGGAGGCCAAGCGAGTGAAGAATTAATTTGCACATCAATTAAGTTAAAGCCAAGTAATTAATAAATGCGCATTAACAAAATCTCTATCTCGATAATAATCATCATAATCATAATGATAATGATAATGGTAGTTCTGTAAAGCAAGAACTGTGCGATCGCATCATCGTCGCATTTTTTGCATCTATCAACTGGGCCAATTTCAGGAACTTGTCGAACTGCAGCACTCTTAACTGACATCATCGTCTCTGGCAATTCCATTAAATGCCAGAGACAGAGACAGGGTC